GGCCCCCTTCCCGCGTGAGGCCCGGCTGGCGCGCAGTTCGGGCAGATCAGCCTTCTTAGGGAGACGGCGCTGGCCTCCCTGGGAAAGCGGCAGTTTCGTTTCAGAAAAGCACAACTGTTCTTAACGTCAGTCTAAGCCAGGGTTTCCTAGACTTCTTACTCTCAGGAGCCCTTCCCACTTTTAAAAATTATGGGGGACTCCAAAAGAGCTTTCGCTTCTGTGGGTTATATTTCTTGATATTTAGCTCATAAAAAATTGAAATTGACGCCTTCGCTGCCTCTGCCGCTTCTCACAATTCTTTGATGGGATTTTAATATTGTATTATTTTTCAACATAGACTAGCAAATAATTTTGATTTCGCGGACCCCTGCGAGGGGTTTGGGGGACCCCCAGGAGTCCTAGGACCACATTTTAAGAAACACTGCTCTAATCAAAGGAGCTGCATAAATGCCTAGCTGAAAGAATGAGGAGAAGGATTGGACCCCAGGAATCGATGCTGGGCCATTTGCCCCTGCGCCAGTCCCCAAACTCTGGGAATGGCCCTTGAGTGACCTTAGACTTCTGACTTGTGGCGCAGCTGCACTGCTCTTTCTGAAGCCCATGCCAGAGAGACTTGCAGAATAACAGGACTAAACAGAGGAGGGCCTCCCGCAGCAACACGAAGAACTCTGAGACTCTTGGTGTGGGAATAAGGATTTGTGAGTTGCAAAGGAGGGGTCAGCAGGTGTCCCGCAGCAGAGAACCATCCATAAGCACTTGTGCAATGTTCATCTTTTGGGCACTTATTTCTGCACCAGCAGAAAACCTTTTCTGCATTTTGCATGTTTAAATGTAGTTTGCTTTGTAGCTGCTTTTAACCAGGGTAATTTCAATGGTTTTGAAGGACGCTGGTAGAGCAATCTATAGGGGTATCCCCCGCGTTCGGAGTATACCCAGCTGAAGCAAAACGTCTGATAAAACTTAGAGCAGACAATCCTTGCATTAACAGAAACTAAACAAAACTGAGATTGCCACACTATGGTTTAGTGTTTCTGCTCTTCCCTGGTTCCAGAGCAAGGTGCTGGGGAAGAATTGTTCTGCCCAAGCAATTTCTTTCCAGTTTCTTTGAGGATTTTTCTCTCTCCCCTCTCTAGTGTTTGACAGTAGAAATTATTAATTGAGATCCTCTGTGGACATAAAGCTAGATATCACCTGGATCAGCATTTTTATTAGATTCAGATGAAGTGGTGGAAGTGCCAAATGAAGAAAGGCTAATATATTTTATCTTAATCTAGACAGAATGGAAGTACTATTGATAGGTGATTTCTCTGTAGAGCAATGTTTCTGAACCTTCACAACTTTAAAATGTGTGAACTTTAAATCCCAGCTTGCTAGGAAATTCTGGGAGTTGAAGTCTACACATTTTAAGGTTGCTAAGATTGAGAAATGCTGTTGTAGAGGTATATGATGATGTTTTATATGAGATTGCAGGCTCTCTTAAGGAACACATTTGCAGTTTGAGTAATGTGCTCATGTTAGATGGTCATATGGCATTTGTGTGTTGAAGTTTCCACTGATTTGAACCTCTACTGTAATTTAGGGAGTTTTTTCTACATTACTTTGAAGACTCCTTAGAACTTCAACTGGCATAAAATGCAACTTGTAGACTGCTGATTTAACAGGTTAGGTTGAATACCTCTCAACATTTTAAGTCAATGTCATGGTATCTGTGAGTCCTATCCAAAATGCGGATTTTAAATTGTATTGCCCTTTTAGACTTGGGTCTTAGAATAGCTATTTATATAAACCTATTCACCCATTAAGGTGAAAATATGCCATTTAAAATTAAATGGTTGTGTCTGAAAGCATCTTTTTCTATGTCTAGAGCTAATATTTTGTCGTGGGGTTTGGTTTTGTTTTTTGCTTTATAGAGAGGAGATCATTGCTGCCAAAATGGCCAAAATGCCACAAATGATAGAAGACTGGCAGAGGGAAAAACAGCAGTGCAAGCTCAAAGAACAACAAGAAAAAGAACGGCGGCGGTTGTTGTTGGCTGAGGCCCGGGAGCAATTTGGCTATCACCTGGATCATCACAGTCCTGAATTCCAAGAGATGGTAGTAGAGAGGGAGAAGATTAAACGGATGGAGCAGAAGGAGGAGAAAAAACGTATGAGGGGGGTTCTGGCCAGAAAAGCAATGGAAAGCAAGACTCTTGCCTCATCTCCAGATAATGAGAAGGAGATGGCTGAACCAAAGGACACCTAAAATACTATATTAGCAGTCTTTGAAATAAGTCTGCCTATAGGCTGTGACATGTAATATAATTCCCAGAGTCCCAGTACATTTACTGCAACTCTTATGATGCATTAAGGCCAGTTTAGAATTCTTAATGCAAATGTGGAATCCTTCACTGTACAGAACAGTCTGGGGTCCTTTCACTGCCCAGCCATTATCACATTCTCTGAATTCCTTTTCTCTCTCAGAACAGCAAGCTCTGTTTCCACCATCTAATTGACTGCAGGGTTCAGTTTGTCAAATATATCTGGAATTTTAAGTTAAAAAAATATTTACTTTTAACCAAATGGTGAAATATGGTTAAATATATTTGTGGGGCATCTAAAAAGAAGTTGGAGGCTGTGTCCCAAATAATTATTACTTAGAATTTTTGCTAGACCTTGTTTGGTACATTTCTTAGTGGTAGCATCACTACATTTAACTTAAAAATTTGTCATTAGTAATGGCTTCAAAGGAGGAAGGTCCTTGACATTATTCCTTTAGCATCTTATTAAAGGTAGAGGAATGTAAATTATTGAATCTAGCTATTCTAATTGTATGTGGAGACAAAGATAGCTGGGAACCAGTTGAATGGGCCAAGCAGTAAACCTGACATTTCTTCCTTGACTAAGTCAGTTTACTCTTTTCAGTGTGCATGGGATTCACATTAAGGATGTACAGAAACAGATATGGACTTCTACTATGAAATTGCTCTGAATTTTGGCATATTTGCCCTGCTCCATTCACAATTCTGTATTGGCACCTTTCAGCATTTTGGCTGAATTCAGACTGAGAAACTGGATTGAATGCTATTATGCTTCCTGCAGCACTCCATACAACTGGAATAATTCAGCACACCAAATAAGATGGATTTGCTGCATCCAAGCAAACAGATGTGATTTTGGCTTGATGCCTCCATCTTTCACAGATGCTTGTCTTTTTAAAATTTTTCCTTGCCAACAATAGCTATCAAAGGGACAATCTACCCAAGCTGCTAAAAAAGGATTTTGCCCACTGAACACCTTCCACTGAGCAGCTGTGCCTAAGCAGAAGCATTTTGAAAACACACTCTACATGCACCCCCTTCAGGCGTAACTCCCCCACTGCATACTGTAGCAGCAGGAGATGTTCATGCTTTTTTTTTTAATCATTTTGTAAAAAGCAGATGGTAGGCTGCCTTCACTACAAACTGCTTAGCTGAAAAGGTTTGTTAGTCCCCATCCACAGTGGCAGGTTCAGAGGGACTTGTAATTTAATACTCTGGCTCCCTCTAGTGGCAAACGTAGAGATGCATAATTCCCTTCAATCTCTCTAGCCTTTTATTATGATAGTGCTCCTAATGAATGTATGGAAAAGTAGGGAAGAGAAGACAACTAGCTTGAACCAAAGGTGGAAACTCTTCAAAGTAGGTCAAAGTTCTTGCCATCTAAAGATACTTTAAATAAAAGGTTTGTTTTTCCTTTTATGGCCAATTACATCCTCAAAATGGCATGTGCCTGCAAAATCACTTAAAACAGTTTCATGACACTCTTGACAGCCCTTGTTTTCTACAGGATCTCAGGGAAGGAACAGGAGGGGTGACACCAGTTCAAATCTAAATAAGTTGTAAATTACCTATATCCCCCAACCTACTGTTACTGTTGCCTGTGGAAGAACTATTGATATAATGTACGTGAGCAATTATGTGGAGGAAGCATGTTTTGTGTGATGATAAACACAATCCCTTTCTGTCTTAAAGGAAGTATTAAAAAATGGGAGATAGGTGAAAAAGTAACTTAACTCCAAGCTTATTAAGTGGAAGCAAAATTTCTTATGGAAATTTTTATTTTACAAATGTCATATTAAAAATCAGTCAGTACTAGAACCATGATTCCTCCCGTTTTTAAATTATCTAATTCACTTATCAAATCATTATTCAAAAATACTTTTGACTAGAATTTTCACATTCTTCTGCTTTCTTATTTTGCTACCAGTGGAAGCAGTATTTTTTGTGCATCTGTTTTCTCACATGAGGTGTGCTGGCATTTAGGCAACCACAGAGTTTCTTACCAGTATGATACGAGAAGTAATTTACAGTAATTTGTTATTTCAATTCAGTTATCAGCTTGCAGTAACTTAGGCCTGAATTCCCTATTCCTCATGACAATTGGACTAAAAAAAAGAGATGTCTGTGTTTTATTTCAACTTATATGTAAATAGTGTTGCATCATCCTGGCAAGAAGTATTCAGTGGGGTCCCCCAGGGCTTCATCCTTGGCCCAGTGCTACTCAGCCTACAGGATGGACTGAAAGGGGTACTCAGATTTACAGATGAAATCAAGCTAGGAAGAATGGCTAATACCTTATAGGACAAAAATCACATTTCAAAATGACCTCGATAGGTTTGTGTATGGAACAAATCTAATAGAAGAGAAATATGTAGCTCAAGGTTGAACTGTGGAGTCTTTGGGGTTCTCTGAGGTTGGTTGGAACAAATCTAGCAGAATGGTGTTGAGCAATGACAAGTATACAGCCCTGTATCTGAGTAGGAAAAATCAAATGGAAAGATACAGGAGTAAGGACTGTGTGAGAAGAATTAGTATCATCAGCTGAACATGAGTAAGCAGTGTGATACTGCATCTAAAAAGGCAAATGCAGTCTTCATCTGCATGAACAGAAACATCTAGAGCACAGGACATAATCATTCCATGGTAGTCTCTACTGGCTTGGGGTACTGTGTCCTGTTCTGAGAATCATACTTTATTTGAGATGCTGGTTCAAGTTTAGAAAAGAGCTATCAAGATGTTAAAGGATCTAGAAACCAAGCCCCACATGCAATGGTTAAGATAGCTGAGCATATTTCGGTTGCAAAAGAGAAGAATTGAGAGATACAATAATCAACAAACCTAAAAGGCTGTTACATGCAAGAGGTGATTAATCTGTTCTCTGTTGAAGCTGAGAGCAAGACAAGAGCCAATAAGTTAAAAGATATTCAGGCTGAATATTAGGAGTAATTTCCTGATGCCCAGAGCTGTTAAACAATGCTTAACTCTACCTTGCTGGAGATTTTCAAAGGAGGACTGGATTGTCACTTGTCAGACCGGCTTAGTGGATTCCAGCACTCAATCCAATCCTTGGACTGGATGATCTTTAAATCAATCTTGACTCCTGGCAACTTCATGGACGAGTCAGTGTAGTTTCCTTGGCAACATTGCAGAAGTGGTTTTTCATTGCCACTTTCTAGGATTTTTTATTTTATTTTATTTTTTTACTTCCCAGTCTAGAACTGAGGGGGAGTGACTGACACAAGATCACCCAGCTGGCTTCAGTGCTTAAGAGGACTAGGAGTGGTAAGGCATCACCTTGGCTTTCAAGGTGGCTTATAAGATTTATTATATTATATTATAATATAATATATTATATATATTATATATATAATATAATATTAATATTATAACATTATAACTCATACTTCCTATGATTTTTATTATTCCTTTAGGAGCATAATGAAGGAAATGTGCCAAAGAACCAACATAAAGCAAAGGATAGCTAAAGTAACAACAGTTATAACTGTATTAGAAGTACATTTACAACACAACAGAAGTAGAGTTGATTTCATTTATATTGAGTCATTGAAGAATATGACAACCTGTACCTTATCTGCTACTTTCAAATTTGCTTTTCCTATTCCTGGTTATGCTAAGATACTCACCTTGCGTTAACGTAACATTATTTATCTAGTTGAAATCTGCTTTTAGAGTGGACAAGAATTAATACGATCTACATTGGGCAGACACTTGTGTATGAGTGCAGACAAAACAAATCTTATGCTAGAATGTTTCAGGAGTACAAGGGTATGAAGTGTATTGGTCAGTGAGATTAACCCACATCCTCTGTTCAGAATGTCATATGATCCTATTTTGGCTCATAAATGAACTGTTCACTGTTTCTGTTAGTAGATTTAAGTGCTACCGTAGCAGGAACTGACCATTTAAGCGCCATTTAACATAACAGATTTTACTCACTTCATGAAAATGGTTCTGCTTAGGAGGAGGAATACTAGGGACATAGGTAGGGGAAGACAGAAGAGCAAGGGAAAACAACAAAAAGCACATTCAGATGTCAATGACCACACAGCAAAAGAAGAGATACCAAAATCTTTGTCCCTTTTTTTTTTGCTCTTCCTTCATTGTTAATGCTAGTTACATCAAATGTACTTTTGAAATAAGGAATGCAAACAAGAACAAAAAAAAACCACATTGGCTTATTGGCTTAGCCATATATCTAATAAGCAATCCTGAGTAAGTACGACAAGAAGTACTGGGTGGATGGGATTAACAACAAAAGCATAGAAACTGGTAACCTTTTTTTTTTTTTAAAGTAAGACCATATTTCAATACCCCAGTGAATCTGTAGAATCATACTTAGTTACTAATACAATAACCAAATTGAAAACTGATAAGGTCCATCAGCTGTTTTTGCCAAAATGATCAGCAAAGAAAATACTAGGGCAAGTATTGACCTGTGAACAGAATTCTGGAAGTAGTCAGATGCTTTTGAAAATGTCTAAGTCCAGTTACTATTCACCAATCTGCAGTACAAGGATGATTTAAGCGACTGGCCAGATTATTTGCACACATCCCAAATGCTGTAAACATTTGAAATCTCTTTTCAACATTTAGAAATGTCCTTAAATAGAGATTGAGCTGATCAGTTTTGTAAAAAAACATTTCTGTCCTTTTGAAAAAGAGAAGGCCACTGCAGAGAGTTGAGGTTCTATCATGTTTCCAGCCAAAATTGGAAGTCTTTGCTGAATTAATTGCACTGTTAAGCTCACTCCCAATGTAATAGGAAGGACCATCTGATGTGTCTTGCTGGTTAAGGAGCACAGACTGAGAAAGAAAGCGGATAAGGATTTCCCAAGAAATATCAAAAAACAAAACATTAAGAGCCTGGAACGTCCAGGTTATTTCAAAGTTATGATGAGATTGAAACAGGACAGAAAATAGGACAAACGTAGCCCTCATTTGGTTGACCCTGACAGAATCAATCATGGAATAATGAAGATAGGCTGCTCCTGTCAGCTTCATTAATTAGCAAGCAGTATTTTCGTAGCTGCTCCCTGGTTTTGGAAGCTGAAATCCGGTTAGGTAACACCCATCCATTCGCATCACAACACATCAAACACTAGACCAGTAGCCCAGTGGTACAACTATTGACAACAGACTCCTTCAAATAGGCCCACCCAAGGAGGAAGACAGCATCCCAAGCCCTCGTACTTTGGCAGTTCTCTCTTTGGTCCAAGCATTCCTAACAACAGTTTGTGAGGAACCTTGATGCCTTAGGAAGGACTGGTTCCATCTGCACCATTTTCTTCCTGGCTGGCCTTGAGTTTGGACAATACAGCGTGGATCCGGAACAGTGTTCGTGACTCCATTGAATAATTTTTGTAGTTGTTCCTGGTAAGAGAAAAATTGAACAACTGTCATATGCCTTATATCAAGCCTGTATGTATTCTGCACGCAGAAAAACTGCTTCAGAGGAATCCAAGTATTTTACTTGATTATATTTGTTATTTTGTAGATATGTCTAGATCAGATGAACATGATCCAGTAAAAAGCAATGCAGCCAGGGAAACACATCTCTGCTTATCAGATTACTGGATCAAGAGGGACCAGTGATCTGACTCAGGATAACTAAGCTGAGAACTTACTAACATAGTCTAAGACCTACTTAGACTTACTAAGAACTTGCTAATCCTTAGACCTTATTTACTGACCAGAATACAGACATAAGGGTTAAACAACGGAAAACATAACTAGTTGGCCAGCATGCACCTTTGGCGCTCCCCTCCATGAGATTATAAAACTTTCTAAAATGCTGTCAAGCTATGAAGTAGCTGTATCTTCTGGGGGAAAAATATTATGAGATATGCTACGTGTTCACTTACTTGGCTCTGCGGAGCAACTGTACAGCCTCTTCATTTTGGCCTTGGGCCACATATAGCAGGCTCAACTCCAATAGCGCATTGGGTACCAAGTAATGATCATACCTGATCTTCTTCTCACTGTAAGCAGATCAGACAGTCATGCATCCTGTTTTGATGGAAGCTTTCCAGGGTTTCCTGTAGTGCAGCCTTCCCTGATCAATGCCCTCCAGATATGTTGGATTTGAGTTCCCCAAACAGCCAACAATGCCTCACCACCCCCCACCCAATTTCAATGTTTTTACCAAAGAGACTGACATCATACCTGCTATGGACAGCACTGAAGCATGCCTCAGCCTCAGCCAAACTGTGCAAATGCTTGAAGACGAGGCCTTTGAGAAGTAGCACAAGACACTGGTCATCTACTTGGTACTCACTGGCTGAGGAAATTGTGGGAAGAGGAATGGAAAGAGCAGAAGAAAGGTCAACCAGGCTAAGCAGTTACTGCATACTCCACTTTCCAGAAAGGTTAATTGGCAATATTTCCACCCATATTATTCATGTACCAGGCAGGTTTCTCACTCTGCTTATACAGGTTAAAATGGAGCCCATACCTCTCCCTGCACATCTATAATAGGTTGGTTGTGATGCAGAAGAGCTAGACTGCAAAAACAAGTCTCCCCTTCCAAAACGTACAAGGAGACTTCCCCCCAAAATAGCAGGTTCTGTCTTTCCTTGGGGAAAAATGTTTATTTTTTTAAAGATCAGATTAATATCCCACCTTTCCTCCAGGTCCTTAAGTCAATAAATAGAAACATAGAATTATAGGGCTGGATGGGCCCCTAAGCATAATCTACTTGAACCTTCTGCAAAATGCAGGAAAAACACCCTGTCCTCCAATTTTTCCCTACAACAACAATCCAGTGTAGGATGCTGGTCTGAGAGACTGACTGACTCAAA